TTGCTGTGAAAATGAGCCTACAGCTAGTAAAAAAAATGTGACAGGAGCAGGAAATGCCCAGAAACTGCTTGGGGTACAGAGGATTAAAGCATTTTAAGTGTAATCCTTCAAAGTTCAATAAATCTATGCCCCGTTTTCCTTCATCTCCTGCTTTTTTAAACCGTCTAGCACCGCCTTCATCACTTCCCCTCCTGTCCACCCACAGCTTTGCTACAGATTATCCCTCTGCTCAGCACTTGTACCTGCACACCGGAGACCGGGGCTGGGCTGGAGGGCAGGGCGGCTGTGGGCAGCTTCGTTAGCAGTGGGTTGGGGGGTGTGCAGCTGGTGGGGTGGGTGCTCTTCCAGTAGGCCTCCAGGTAATCAGCCATATGCTCACATGCATCCTCCAGCTGGTTCTCATCGAGGATGATGTCGAACATCTCCTGAGGAAGGCGAGACGGGTGCAATCCGAGTTAAAGGAAATGAAATGGAGACATGACAAGGTCAAGAAAACCAGGTGGAGCTGTTGTGGAATTTCACAATAAAAGACTCTTGATTCTGTGTCTGATTTAAGAAAACTACAGAGATTTAAAATAAAAATGTATATGTACAGAAATCATACTTTATATACACAAAATGTCAGAGCGGTGTTAGAAACAACCCACTGGATTAAATACTAAACAGCATTAGGAATTAATTCAGAGAAAATCTTAAATGGTAATTCCCCAAAGATATCGAATGCTATTTGAATTAAATTAAGCCTGCACTTTCACAAGCCTGGGGTGCTTGCTTCATTTTCTAAAATAATAACTAAGCAGATTACAGAGGAACAGAAATAGAACTGGCAGGAATTCCAACGTTTAAAAAAAAAAAAATCTGAATTCAGATATGCACAAAACTCAAAACCAAAAGCCAAAAAGGACAAAAATCTAAGTTATTTCAAACACTGGAATCGAATCAGCAATCATTTGGGTCCAGTGTGGGCACTTACGGGAGGGCACTGAGCCAGCTTGTCGGCGGCCACCATCTGGACATTGAGGTGTTTGGCCTGAGACTTGCCTCTGGACTTGATGAGCCGCTGCAGCACCTGAAGGCAAATAAGGACAGAAGGCAACAAGGTCATGGCAGTTTTTGACAGAACTTAATTAGGGCTTTGTGTGAGCAATATTCAAATCTGTGAATGTTTGCGTTATTTGAAATAAAATGTAAAAAGATGGACGATCTTTTGAAGCTGGGTTATATTTCTACTCCCCAACATTGTAGTTATTATCTGACAGTTTTAGTTACAACTTATATAAAGATTTTGTATTAAAATAAATAAGTTAACATCATGTACTACATGGTTAAAGATTAAACCAGTGATTTCGAGGCACTTGGCTCATGACGCAGTGTTTAGTTTGGATCCTTTGTCCCAGTGACTCCTTATCAGATCTGCCGAAGAGACGTTTCTTTTTCAAACCTCTGAGATGGTTTCATTTAAATAATTAAGGCCACAGACTTCACAAAGCTCCCTCTGGAAGCACAAAATACTTTAAACAACGTTTTACACATATAAAGTGGAGTTTCCCTTTTACAAGAATAATGACTGCAATATTTAATCACAGATTTGTAAAAGAAGCAAGCCATCTATAGTAGAAGTACTTTTGATATTTTAACTGAATTTAGCTGATAATACGTGTGTACTTTTATTTAAGTAGAGTTTAAAAGCTGTTTGGTACTTTTACTTAACTAAATGAGCATCTCTTCCATCACTGCCTATATTTTTATATTAAATTCGGGGGGAAAAAAAATACTGTCATTATCCCTCTAAGGCTAGTTGTATATGAAGTGGCAATAAAGTATAATTGAGAGGACAGGTGATAAAGAGCAATTCATCTTTTCCCACTCTGAGTGTGACTCACTCTGCTGCCACTTTGATTTAAAGCGTGCGTTCATCTCCTTTTCCTCTTTAGCTATGCTCTCTCTCATTTTACGCGATACCCAAAAGCCTGTGTTTTCTTTTTTATTGATCACTGAATCATGAGCCTTTTTTTTACACTTGCTGAAGGTCGGAGTGATGAATCAGCAGTCACGTCTGACATGCTGGATTTAAAATCACAGCCAGGGAGCAGCTCAGTTACAGACAGACGATACGAGCGGCGACAAGACATGACGACAAGTCACACACAAACAAGCCAGTGGAGCTGACTAATCCTTGAATGGGAGTAGAGGGAACATCGCCTCAGCTGTTTTCATTCGTCACCCTGTCCTTATTTATCATCACAGCGTACGCGCACAGCATATCCGCATCTCTGTTTTCCTTTGATCATCAATGAAGCTAATTTTTCCAAACCTTGGGGGAAGTGATCTTGACGTAGACGATGATGGGGGCGAGGGAAGTCTTCCCCAGCTGTGACGGGTGGTTGATGGTGTCGGCGTCCAGAACCACCAGCTGTAACGTCCGGGCCAGTTCGAAAATCCGCTCGATCTCACTCTGGACTTCAGCTGGAAATAGAAGGAGAGGTTTTGATTATTTTCTGTTATCATTTATTGCCTTTTAGTGAAGCTGTATCATGATTGTACAGCATACGGTGCAAACAGGCTTCTGAAGTTTTGACTACTTAATTTTTTGCCATATTTGCCATACCGTGACAAACATACTGTAAACTAACATTCTCTGTGTTTGTGTTTGAATGAATCACAAAACTTGCATTTCTTTTTACAAAAACTCGTCTGACTCAAACAACTCACCATGCTGTCATGTCTCTGTTTAATATGCAAGTTTGGATGATGTAATTTAGAGAAGGAGAGAGCTGAACATTATTATTTTTTAGTTATTTTCAGAAAACTTATTGTTTTTGTTGTTTGCTTGAGATAATATCAATCAAACTGAAGCTGAGTGGATCTGACTCAGTAGAAATGACAAAAATAGAGATGACTTAAGTTTGATTGATATTGTCTCAGGTAAACGATGGAAAAGTGAGTTTTCTGAAGGTTTGTGAAGATGGAGTTATCTGTTTTTGCAAATGAACTCTTCAATTGCTATTTTAATCTAATTTATATATTATGATCACAAACAATAAAAAAAGAGTTGAATACAATAAATGTTGTGTCAAAATGATCAACTTCAACAACCAGATTCACCATTTTAGTTCAGTGTGTTTGCACTTCTGTAACTTTTCCTAATTAGCACTAAACACTGACAGAGCTGTCTTTGCTTTTATTCGATCATAAGTCAAGCACAAATATTAATAATCTTATTTTATAATTATCATATTTTGACCTGATGAAAAGTTAAAGGGTCACAAAAGCCATTTGAATCTATTTGGAGGGCTACATGAATGTCTGCACAAAGCTTTATCTTCACCCGCATGGCTAAAAAATGGTTCTAAAATGTAATTAAATATTTAAGACTGCACCTTGCCCAGAGGCACAACCACCTCCTGGTTGTTTCTTTATATGCCCATTGGTCATACAATGTATGGCTTTAAAAAAATCTGACTGCATTGCTTCACTAATTTGGTGCTCTGTTTGCATCTTTCTGCTTCACAGAGACTTAAATATTCAAAAGACATCATGACTTTAGGCTCAGAGACTAATAGCTCTGAGAGGAGCGGCGGGTCACATTATGTTATCTCTAACAAATACTGACTGTTACAGCACGCAAACCCCACTCCAACAGATGACACTGTGACTGCAATCCGACAAACACCACAGAAAGGCACAAGTCCCAGTCTGAGGGAACTCGTGGCCAAGTTCCATGACTTCCAGTCACGACAAAGTCTGAAGTAAACTGATAACACGAAGACATTCCAACCTAACAGCTCATTCAAATTCTCATTTTCCTGCTAAAATATGCCAGAGGAGTGAGATAACTTCCCTTGTTTCTAATGCTACATTTTCCTGAAATCATTTATTTTATCTTGAAGTAATTTTAGCTTCAAGCCAACGTCACTTTTGATTGAAAAAAATGCCATGAGAAATGTGCACTGGAAACAAAGGCAGAAATCCTACTCTTTTGGCAGGAAAACGAGGACTTTAAGATACATCAGAAACCAAGATGACTTGCTAAGATGGATATTTTTGGCAGTTAAATGACTAAACAGACGCAATGTGGCACTCAAATATGGAGCGAATATGAATCTTAGCTCTAAATGTGTCTCAGTGTGAATATATAATTAAAATGCACAGTGGTAGTTCTGGAAAGAGAACAAGTCAAAGTTATGAAATGAAATGAATGAAAACTACTTTATTTATCCCAGAAGGGAAATTCAATAATAATTATTATAGTTAGAATATGGTGGCTCTCGGTAAACAAAATTAAACCTCATACAACTTTTTCCAGAGGTTTCTTCCTTATTCTTATAGAGATACATAGCAGAAATTAGCCTTGTCACCTCCGTTTGACTCAGGAATCTGTTTCATTCTAATCACATCTAAACTCCAATCAACTTCAGTCAAATCAGAGCGGTTCTTGAACTTGTTATCGGGCACTTATGCTCTATCTTTCATTCCTAACAAAAGAAACCGGCCAAGGCCACTCAGGGCCGTCGGGAGTTATCATTACCATTGTCAAGAGTTTCTTTAATCGTTTCCTTCCTTTTCGACGTAAGCTGGTCTCCTTGAAAACATTATGAATCAAAACACCAGATGTTCCCGGGCAATGGGGAGATTTCTCGCAAACTTACCCAAGTTTGAGCGTGTGTTGGAGCGTTCGATGATGGCGTGCTTGCTGGGATTGTTCAGGACGGAGCGTTTGGCAAGAGAGATGTCCGCCGTGACGCGAGTGATTGATATTCTGGCAAAAGAGACGAGAAGGAACGAGTAAATCAGATAATATGAACTTGAATTGATAGGAAACGTAAATACCAAACACTTGAGTGCACTTTCTGAGAACACTGTTGCAGTTTTGAAAGCATTAAAAGCAAATACATCAGTTTATGAATAAAAACCCTTAAAACATTTACACTATAGGTTAAAAATGAATAAATCTATCAAGGTATCCCCCTAAAAAGACTATTTTTCTTGATACTTGCTAAATAAAATGTCTTAGATAGGCCCACAAAAATTGTGCTTCTCTTTTTATTTCTCATACAGACTAACAAAAGAAACCTAAAAGTTGAACTGGAGATCCTATAAACCTTCTTGATGAAGGGTTTTCATCAAATCTCTTCTCACAGAAACAACTAATTTCAAGAAAGTCTGTTCTCTTGTTTTTAAACTGTCAACATTTCATCAGATCTGCTCAACAGACGGTTACATTTCTTTTTTTTCCTTTTATCTTTTCCTTTTTAAAATCTTTACTTCTCTTTTTATATTATATTTTTATAGTTAGCGTAGAGATGAGCGGCGTGCATGGACGCAGCGGAGAGTGAACGTTTAGTGTCTTGGCAACCTCAGACGCCCCCAATATGCATTCCGCGAAACTTACTAATTAAATGATCCTGAAGAAACGCTCTCTCATCTTGCCTGTACTACTGTGTATGTACAGCAAAATGACAATAAACTTGATTTGATTTGATTAGAGACATTTTTCTTTATTTATTCATATATCTCTGATTGATGCACTTTACTGTTGGCACTTGAATTAGTTTGCATACACTTTCATTTCACATATACAAAGACAAATAAAGATATTCTATTCTATTCTATTCTATTCTATTCTATTCTATTCTAAATAACTTCAGAAATCCCGTCCATCCACACTTTCCCAAAATCTAAGAGGAAGGCTGTGTTGGATGATTCCTGTAACTTTTTATGTGTATCATATTGTTAGCAGTGTTGTCGGAGTCCCTGGTTTGACTTGCGACTGGCCAAACCTTTGCCGGAGCATCTCTCCTCACATTTCCTGTCTATCTCTCTACTGTGTTATCTAAATAAAGCCCGAAAATGCAACAACAAAAAAATAAATATATGAAAATCATGTGCTTTCCGAACATACAATCTGACATTCACACAGACTTCACGCCGTTATGGGCCGACTGTGCAGAACTTGTCCCCCTCTGATGTCTGTTTGCTCCAGAATCACAAACAGTGTTACGTAAAGTGAGTTAAATTCATCTGATATCACTTCTGTTTTTCGACATAACCACATTACCAGTGTGTGCATTATATGAAGGTAATTGTTCTTTATGCAGATGGATTCTGTATAAAAGCCACTACGGATGCTACTTGGAGGTTATAAACTGTGTGTTTGTGAACTGCTCACAACGTTTTAAGAACCATGATTGCCATTTGAAAAGTGGGCCAAAGCAATTAAGAAAAACCAACAGCAAATCAAAGACAAATGACAAACAGAATTACTTAGAGGCGTGAGTTTGAAAAAAATCAACACTTTAAAAGCAAACTAACAATATTGTCTGCTGATGTCTGAGTGGATCTTAGAGTTGTGTAACTTTATGGCCTCTCTGGATGGAAGGATGGACTTAAGTAAGGAGAATCCTGCTCTGCTCTAGGGCCCACTATGGCCTATTAAGGACATGGAGAGGTCCTATTTAAAGCAGCAGCACACATCTCCAGGCCAAACAAACTTGTTACACACTCCCTCTGCTAACCTCGGGGGACAGATAAATACCAGCCTACAGACTTGGAGAGAGGAAGAATGAGGAAGGAAGCATTTTAAAAGGTCACAGGGAACTTACCTTCCCTCGAATCTGTGTTTCAAAAAGTCAAACAGTGCTTTTTGCATCATGTCTGTCACCTGTCGGCAAGGAAATCGAGGAGACATCAAAGTTAAAGATAACATTTTCTGATAATGAAGAGCAACGTCAGCGTTGTGTTTGAAATGTCGAAGTTTTGACGCACCTCGTAGCCCTTCAGTGATGGTCCAACCAGAACCACGGGCCGCATGGAAGGCACAACGTCGTACGGAGGAATGTGTTCCGTCTTTGGAGAGGAGATGGAGAGGAAGAAAAACGGTTACACACATTTATGGAGACAAAGTAAACGCTCACCATCGCAAATCACTTGAGCGGTTGGAACAACAGTGAATGAGACAATTTAAAAGCACTGGAACACTGTGAACCATGAAACGGTGCGTCTCAGCTGGCCCGACAAAACACAAACACAGCTTTGATTTAAAAATTTGGCAGTTTGCTTCTTGAATTTTTAACGTTGCAATTTTCAAAGCGGGTCAAAAGATAATTTTTCATGACAGATCAAGACTCTCGTCTCATGGTTCTGATGTCACTGAATAAAAAGGAAAACAAATTGCAGAAAAAGTAAGTCAGAGAGGGGAAAGAAGCCACAGTAGATCAACAGAGGCTAGAACTGAAGAACTTGAAGAATTAGGACACAGTTAGAGGAACTTGCAGGTTGGGAAAAAGTGAGAGCTCAGTTTATGTAACAGCCTGAGTTTAAATAAACATTTAGATTCATTACAGATTTGCCTCATTAACAGCATACAATAGATTTAATATTGAATCAATCGATACAGTTCATGATGCCACTGTTGAGTTATTTTTGAAATGTGAAATGAACAAGGATATTTTTTAAGAATTACATTCTAGGACAATCTCCTTCCATAAACTGGAATAAACATATTGTACTAAAAAGAATGCCAAATGTTTGACTGTAATAGGATATTCATACGTCTACAACTTACTTGTGTGAGTGTGCGGTTGTCTCTTCAAGAATCATGTGTACATGTTAATATCATGGATTTAAGTCAGATGTTCAGTTCTTGTGGCCCTTGTTTATTGCCAGAGCAGTCTGTGTAGTTGCTAGGCTAAAAAGACCAATAAAAACTGTTTTTGTTTGTGTTTTTAGTGACAAAATTGACTCAATCCATTAATTCTTACACATTGTGGTTTACAGATTTTGAATCTGACAGCTCTGGTATCATATTTGTAGTCTGTAACAGCATTTATGGAATTATCATTAAGTCATTTTAAAGAAATAATGAACTTGTTCCTGCCTCTTGAAAATGAGCGTTTCTTTTTTAAAATGTGATGCAAATTAGGTATCGGTGGAAGTTTTGTCTTCCGCTTCTGGCAGTGAGAGAAATTACGCAAACACTGTCAACGCACGCTTCAATTTTGTCAGTGTTTGTGTGTATTTTCATGCGTGCCGTGCTTGTACGTTCTCTGAGGAAATCCATTTCTGTCTGCATCTGACAGCGAGGCGGTGAACCTGATGTAGCTGTGTGTCCCAGGCGTCTGGTAGAGCAGCATGTGTGAAGGATGTGCGGATATGTTAGCACGCTGGAGGAAAATGAAAGTACTTTCTCTTTCCTTTTTTAAAGCAAAAATCGCAGTAGAGGCTCTGCTGGAAGACGGACAGCTGGGAAGCAGAATGAGCGTTTACTTTGACCTTCTCTAGCTACTTAAAAGGACTGCTGATTGTCACCACACAGTCATTTTCTCAGTCACCCCTTATTTGTCCGAATGCCCCAGCTGCTCTCTCATTCTGTTATCTTTACGATAAGTGTTTCAGAAGATTTATTTTGATTCTTTTACTCATCTCCTCACGTCGTTTTCTTTCTGTCTAACGTTTACTGTCGTCACTGAGCTTCCCCAGGGATGTTGTGGGAACTGATGCACACTACTGCTGACTAACATGATTGTACTAATGAAAAATGTGGTTCTGTTCAGATACTTTCGGTGGCCGTAGTTAACCCTGGATTACAGGGTCACTTTAATCATGGGAAACAAGGCCTTCTATTTAACTGTTTGTCTGAGAGATTTCGTACAAATGTCTGCACTATTTCTCCACTCACTGATGAAAAATGTGAGTGGTTTACAGTCATATGTGTATAACAGTTTGACATTTTAGGAAATACACTTTGTGTTCTTGCTAAGTAAGATGAGAAGATTAATAGAATTCTTCCTGTCTGTGTGCTCAATATGAAGCTGGATCCAGCAGCCTGTTAGTTTAGCAAAAATGATGGAAACATGGAAACAACTTGCCTGGCTTTGAGCAACGGAAACAAATTGTGCTTACCAGTACCTCAAATGCTCATTAATTAACATGTTACATCTTGTTTGAATGATCTATCTAATAACTGAAGTGAATAAAAACACAAGTTGCCGTTTATGAGGGGTTATGTGCCAAACTATTTCTTGGTTGTTAGGCAGATTTTATTACTTTTTGGATATAAACAGACTGGCTGTTTCCCCAGTTTTATTCTAAACTGTGCTAACTGTCCTCTTATCACAGCTTCATACTGATGGAAGATTGAACAGAGGCATTAATCTCCTCACCAACCTTTTAGCAAGAAAATGAATGAGCGTATGTCTGATCATAATAAAAACTGTTCACACTGAGTTCTCGCTTAATCTCACAAGTTCACTGACAAACAAACACAACACAGAGGTTTGCAGGAGCAGTGAGTAGGGTAAGAGGTCAGTACAGGGGTGAATCTCTGCTCAGGAAACATGGAGAGTTTGTACAGTTCAGACCATGGAGGTCATCTACAAACCCTGCTGTTCCTGTTTACTGCACACCAAGACTTACCGACTTCTGCTTCTGCTTAGCTGTGGTGAGACGGAAGAGGAAAGAGAGATAGGTTAAGAACAGGCATGCATGCTAACAGCGGAGTGCACGCCGAGGGACGAGGACAACGGTGTAGACACACAGGACGGGCGCTGAGTGAGGCCGAGCAGCCACAGGCATTTTGTTCAGAGCCGTGCGGACGGACAGAGGAGAGGAGTAGGGTGGGGTTGTCCAGAGTTTACCTTCTTAAAGAAGGGCATTCGTTTCTCTTTTGCTAGGGGTGACATGACAGTGTTTGGACTGGCTTTAGGGGAGCGCAGGTTGACCGGAAGCTCATTGTCCTCGGGGTCTAAGCCTGTGGCGTCTATGTCAATGGCTACCCACACAGACAGACAAGAGCATCGTCACACAGAAGTGAACACAGGAGGTCAAATGTACGTTCAGCTACGTTTCACATCGACAGTAGCACAGAATGTAGATACTACACAGAGAGTAAATGAAACATGTAAAAATACAATTATGGCAAGAACAATGTCTGTTTAACTGAGGGTAAAAAATCTGAAATATCTGGTGCATCTTACCTTCAAATAAGTTTCAGCAGTTTAAATGTGGTTTGAAAGACCAAAGAATTTATCAAGTACAAATGTGGACTTCTAATATTTTTCTACAAAGCTACTTACCAGACGAAGGAGGAGTAGATTTCCGTGAGTTAGGAACCACTTCACCTAAACTAGATGATGAGTTTGCTCCCAATTTACTGAAACAAGAAAGATTTTTTTGTCACGTGAGATTAAAACGAACAAACAAAATGAGTCTACATGAATTTTAGATGATCTCAAAGCCAAAGTAAAGGATGCTGATACAGACACGACTTTTTACCTGGAGTGGAACTTGCCCTGTTTGGCTCTCTGCTCCTGGAGGATACGAGTGTTTTCAAGCTTCACTGGACTGGGGATGAAACCGATTTCACAGCCTTCTTTGACCAGGCGTCCTATCCACCAGTCATTGTTGAATTTCTACACAATAATTCAGGACAGTTATCTTCTTCTAATAAACAACATCCTCATTTCCCTCTGCGTGGCTATCATGAATACCATCTCTAATTGGAAAGCTAGCTGCTCACCTCTTTGACATGGAGGAAGTCTTTAGCCTCAAAGGAGACGGCCATGCCTGGGACGGGGACATCATCATCATGACACGGGCTGTAGTTGACATTTGTGCGGACAGCAAATGCAACTGGTTTGGTCTACCGAAAGAAAGAAAGAAAGGAAGAAGATATCTGAAAATGTCAAACTGTGCAAGTGATATAAATGACTCTCAAAAAGCAATTTCATAAATGGGAAGAAAAAAAATCAAGTGCTATGACTGTAGAATACCCACATTAGGAAGGGAGACTAAAAGTTAAAATTTTGATCTTTTTGTGCGCTGCTGGTGAGCTGTGATTCTTGTCTCTATGCGAGGTATAAAAATAACCCTTGGTGAGAGACACAAGCGGGCTCTGACTCATCCAGACTTAGTTTAGTCTTCTCTCAACAAATGATTTGGCCGCTGCACTGTCTTCCTGCTTCACGCTAACGCACTCACCTTTCACAATTCAGAAGGATGCAGCAGGCTCGCGTTTGTAGCGATCACTGCTTCAACAGCATCAGTAAAACGACACGCTCGTCTTGCACTTGAGTAGCACAAACAGCACTTGTGTCAGTGGTTCATAAATCAATCTTTACAATGGCTGAATCAATACTGACCTTCCTATCTGATAACTGCTGCCTTTCCTCTTAGGGACAAACAGTCATTGAGATAATGCATAAAGCTAATGCAATATTTCTTGTGACTCCCACAAGCTGTGATTTAACAAAGTTACACTCCTAACTGTACAAAACAGAAACTTTTTGTCTTTACAGACACTTGTTTATCTTTTTTGCACAAAGCAAGAGCAAATCCCCTCTGCCCCCAGTGGCACATTCCATGTCTACAAAAAGGGTCTACTGGGAAAACAGTATGCTCGCAGATAGGCCCTAAACTAGTTTCTGGATTTGTGTTGCAAGGCTAGAATATCCACTTAAGACACACATCCTTTTAAGAATTACATAAAATGCTTTTGGACATAATCTGGCCTGGCGGCTGAGGCCACAACAGTTGGCATCATGGTCATGCCCTCAACCAGATTACATTTGCTCTGCCTTTGATAGAGTGACAAGCATGACAGAAGTCAACTGAAAAGCTAGAAATGAATGCACAGGGATGCAGCTTAGAGTAATCTCCCAGCGTAGACTCGCACACTAAATATTTACCTGCAGATAAAAGAGAGCAAGATGAGTGAACTTGTGTGTAATATTCAGCTGGAAGCCAAAATGAATCCACTAGATCAGAGCTTTGATGCTCTAACTCAGCTGGACTTTATACAGATTCTGAAAAATGCTTTCAAAGTACACTGAAATCTGGCCTGCTGTGGCTGCTTTCATCATAGTTCCACAATCTGATTTCCTTCAAGCGACCCAAAAATAAAATGTACCAACAGAAGTGAACTTCCATCACAGTTTCAGTTCTGTGTCAAAAGTGTGGGTAAAGTTTAGGAAGCAAAGTAGATATCTACAATATACGAGTGTCAATCTTTGAGTAGTTTTGTTTGTATATATCGTAACTGAAGAAAGTGTTTAGAAAACTGCATCAATTCAGACTGCAACATATCACTTTTAAAAAATGTGCTGGATGTTTTAGCCAACAGTTTTACTACTAGTACTATTTACATATATCAAGACACAAAGCTGCATGGTTATTTGTTGTGTTTTTGTTTATGATATAAATATCCACTTTTAACTATTTTGGACTCTTTAGCAGCTAAATGCTCCACTATGTTCACTTAGCTGTTTCTAACTTTATCCGTCCGCTGTTTGGTGCTGGGCAGTTAGCCACAAGTTGTTTTTTTTATAGCTTGTTTATCAAAAAGATTCATGACAAAGTGTCATTTGCAGGTCGTGCAATCAAAACAATGATCTACACAAGGTTAAAAAGCATTCACAGAGCAAAAGTTCACTGCAGAGTGGCTTCATATGATTCACATTATGCATACTCATCTGATGCACTGGTCATTTAGAAATAAGCAATTAGTGGCGCTTTAAAACAGCTTTTAAAGTAAATACAATAAAAAGTGAATGGAATTTCACTTTGTTGTGCTTTTTCCACCCTTTAGTGTCTCTTTTTTTTTTGCTTTTCTAGCCTGCAACTTTACTGTCGTGATTGAGTCTAAGTGCTCCTGGAGTTTAGTTTTTTTGTGGCAGCATGCATCTGTTTTCAGTGAGAAAGCTGTAAAAACTTATTGTTCTACCTGCTCAGCACTAAACAGCAGAATGACACAGTTAGCAACTAGCTGGTGACCATAGTGGAATGTTTGGGAGACCAGAAAAGAAGTAAAAGGAACACATACATGACTGCAAATGAATGATGATGTTGCTTCATATGTCCTAACAGTATCACTAAAAAGTTCCTCATATCAAATTTAAAAGGTGAAATATACCAGTGTTGGATTTATAACATTTCCTCTGCTTCCCAAAATCCAAAACATTTATCGGAGATTAAAAACTAAAGACGAGTATTTTTCTTGCGGCACTTCACCATTCGCTCTGCGTTCTTTCAACAACACTTGGTGGAGCTCTCCACTGAGGGAGTAATTCATCAGCAGGCTCCAGGAGGGGCTTTAGGGATGACAGTGTTCTCCATCATGGTTTTCGCTGTCCACTAATGCCTCATTGGAATACAACAGGTGTGAAATGACGATGATGAACTACGAGGGATTATAGAAATAATACATTAGCAAAATCCTCCTGGAATCATTTTCCTCATGTGCACCGCAATGTAAATATCCAATGGAGTGATGGTCGTAAGCTTGTGTATGTGTGTGTGCGACATCTCCGTTGAGGAGGTCGTCCAATCTAATGTGTGCAGTGCCGGGACCTGCAGAGGACACAGAGTCCTTGGCGTTTGCATACACTGAGTCACATGGCTGCATGAAGGTATGAGGTCCATTAGTACACATATACATATGTGCGCTCTCTCGGTTGTCTCAGGGACTGCTGCCTCTTTCCTCCCTCCCAGCTGCTCTGTTTGCCTTCATCCATCTCGGCTGGCTGATAGATTAAGCTTTCTATAACCTTAATGACATTTTACAGAACAGAGCAATTGCGTACACGTCTTGGCAGGCCACCTTGGATTGCAGGTGACCGCAAGATCTGTACGTAATGGCACCTTTACACTACTGTGCAGTATCTCTTCATCTCCTGACCGAGCCCATACTGCTCTGGTGCTTCTTACGTAACTGGGCCTTCATTATGGATGCCATATTGACTGCAGTGAGGGAGGGAGAAGGACAGAGGCGGAGGGTTAGAGACTCGGGAAGAAGCGAGGGAGGAGGGAGGAGAGGACGGGGAAATGGAGAGGAGATGGACAAAAGGATAAAGGACAGAAAAGGAGAGGAGCGAGATGTAGTGTAGAATAAAAGACAGGAGGTGAGAGAAAGAGGCAGACTAAGAATAAAACACAAGATAACAGTCTCAAGAGAAGCCCTGTCTGTAACTGGGAGCCCTATGAGGCAGCATTGTGGTCCACAGCCAATTAACAGCCCACGACGCTCGTCACAATATCGCATCACATTATGCAGATTTCATTCGATAATACCTCCCAGTCCTCGCTGTGCTTACCCCGACTGAGTGAACACCTGCCCTTGCTGTTGCTAATTTGCCATGTAACATGCCAGAGCCTTTGCATTAGCAGCACGCGCATGATCTCATGCTATAAATCAACATTCCTGCATTGTTTCACCTTGAATGGTGTGGATCGATTTGAAATGAATTCTCCTCTCAGCTTATGTGCTGGCCTTAGGCTGTACTGAGAGTCCGTAAAATTTATTATTATACGTTATGAAGGGAGCCATAACCCTCATTAATTTAGTGTGGGAAGATATTTCTATAATTATCCAAGGTTGCTTGAGTATATTGTATATTGCAGCCTTTGCAGCAGCCACTGATTGTTTCTGTTTTCTTGGTGTGTATTGCTGGAGTGACAGTACTGTCCACATGACCATGACACACAAGAACACAAAAACAACTAAAAATCTTCACTTTAGAAGCTGTTTGGTATTTTTTTTTTCTTTGAGTGACCTTAAAAGCCTTTTGCATGTAGATTAGATATTCAGATATACAGGTAAATATCTATTATGCAAAATATCCATGTCAGTGTGAACAAGGCCTATGTGTTGTTTTCATAATTTAAGTCCCATCTACCTTAATTATCTTCCTTGTAATGTGTTCACTAATTCAAAAAGCTGTTTTCTACTTTGCATTGTTTGTAAAAGCTTCAAAGTGTCAAAGTAACGCTTTCCAAGTTCAAAACTGTGAAATCAACGATAAAGAAACAACTCCACTATGTCGACTGGCAGGCGTTGTACATTTTTATTTACCTCATCTAGTTACTGAATGCCAGAACAACAACACAGAAGCAACACCCATTACCTGATCTAAAACCAAATACAGCTAAAAGTCGAGGAGACACCAATCATAACATTTAAACCTGCAGTAACCGAGTTTTTGGCCACTTGTGGCAACATGCTGAAATAGTAACATTTACTGCAAAATCACTCTCCCTCCAGCTCAACTTTGGTCTCCACCAAGTTATTTGGGAAATATCAGGGTCTTTATCTGTTACGTTTTATTCATGAGTTAGTTTGTGTGCCTTTTGCTTGGTGCTGAGCAGGCTGTGAACAGCTGTGAAATGCTGCCTGCTGCAACTAAGAACAATGTTGTGAGAGCAGCAAAGATTATTTTAAAAAAGTAAGATTGTAGGTTGGAAAACTGAAACAATGATTCAAAAGGTGGGGAAAAGTGACAAAAGGTGAGATGACATTTGACTTGAATGGCCAGCAGTCCTGACACTATCAGAGCAACCTGTGCAACAACCATGACACCAGATCAAGTCATTCTTTTTTTCCATTGAAAATTTTCATCCTGCACTACCTTAAATTGGGAGGTTTGCAAAAGACAACCTTGATGAAAACAACTGCAAAAAAAAAAAAACAACGCAGCAGAGGCTAAAATATCCCAACTATTCGCCCCTAATATGGGTAAAGCTTTAAAAACCTTGACTCCTTCACTGGAAGCCTCCAACCCAAGCTATGATAACATCTTGTGTCGTTATTCAGGTTATTGTTTCGTTTTTACTGAGTGACTGGCCACACTGTCAGGGCCCACTTTAATTGATTTTGGTGTGTAACATCAGTGGAGTGTCCATTTAATGCCAATTACAGGACGACAGACGGTGTTACGGTTGTGTGTACGTGTTATAATCGTCAACCCTGTCCCTACTACTTCCAAATATCAGTGGTATGTAAAGGAAGTCATTGTGAATTACTGCCCATAAAGGCTCGCAGTCACAGAGTCTGCACTTTCTCTGACCCCAGCCTGCTCTCTCTCTGGTGGCCAGACCACTGTGAGGCTATTTTCTACTAGTCATCTGTCATGTAAAATGCCAGCAGGGATAATCTATGCCAGGTTATCTATAAAGCCAACCTATCTTTTTAATTAGTGAGCCAGAGAGGGTGACTCTGGAAAATAACAACATAGATCTGCCGGAATGATCTGTCTTTGCCATCTACAAACTGCCCAGAGACACAGTGCAGGAGGAAAATGTCTGTGCAAATGGATGGATAGCCAAAAGCTTAAGGCTTACAGCTAATGAGCAAACTAGCTGTTATAGACACTAAACACCCAATGAAAGACAATAAACCCATTTTTCAGACACTATAGCCTGACTTATTATTCAAGAATAGAACGATCCAATGAGCTCTAAAGTAGGAAGAGAACAGAATGTGCGCTGAAGATAGTCGAATTATTCCACAGATCAAAGGCATAAATCTTAAACAGTGCCAGCGATTTGAGTGATTCTGTGGAAGTGAGCTCTGATTGCAATTCCTGTCGCGCAAAAGCAGGCCTGCTCTGTCGTGTGTGTGTTTGTTTATATGCTGCTAATTGTGGCCCAGAGCAGAGCAGAGCAGGCGAGGCTTGGCCCTGATAAACAGTGACGCTGAGCCCTCCGAGGCCCCTAACCTCTCACATCAGCGGTCCCTAAAAGCCTTTTCTTCAAGTGAGAAACAAGCTGACATGATCTCTAATATTGTGCTTCTCCTATAGTCTTTTCGTCGGTTCAGCTGCATTGTCTGCTCATCTAACTTTGGATAACTAAAACATTATAATTTGCAATTATCATTAGAGTGGGATGAATGACATGGGGATGCCAAAAGAAAGAGATATTTGCTCTAACATCAGTTGCACCAACTTTAAACCAGACCTTTGACCACATTGGTCTTCTCAGTGCCTAAGATCTGCAGACTATTTAACTTAAACTGCCCCATTGAAATCTGACTGGTGACCCTCTACTAGAAAAAAAAAAGCTGCTAAATTGCTTGTGATTATGAAAGTATAAGAAAAATATGGGAGCCTTGGAAAAGAAACCAAAAAGGAAGCAGGCTCAGCTTTTCAATAACAAACAGACCAGTGTAAAGTTTATGTTCCAACTTCAGCGATGCCAGTCATCATTAATTCAAGCACAATAAACCAGTTTTTCTCAGAACAACACATGTCTGTATTTCTAGACTTTTGGGGACCTTAACAGCTATAATGCATTGCCTCTAACCCTAACTATATGTCTATACAATAAACTACTACCTTAAAATGTATTCTAACCCAGGCCAAAAACAAAACTTTAAAGTTGGAGTTTTCTTGTAATCCGGTCTGTTAAATGTGTTGCATTCATGTTATTATTTTCTTAGGATTTTTATCCAAGTTTTATTAGGTTGAAGTTTTCTTCTCGAACTATGATGGTGCATTGCTACTTCTGCTGCTATTACTACTTCTACATGAGTATAATAGAGTGAAACCACTGGCAGGAATGGGCACTACATCACTAGTGTCTCTGCTACAATCAAAGGGGCTCCCATTCATTTAAATATTGCTCCATAGCTGTACTGGTGGTCAACAACTCCATGGGATCGTTTTAAACTTGAAAAAGCAAAGTGGACAATTCACAAAGTCCTTACTTTTAATAAATGTTCTCACTCTCAAAGCGTAAAACTCTTCCCTCGCTACAAACTCATGCTGATTACTGGCTGCTGTCTGACACCCCACTTAGTGCAACATTCAAAATGCTCCTGATACACCCTCGTTAAAGCCCATCGAGGCCAGAGGGTAGCTACTGGACAAAGTGACCTTAGTGCTGCTGGGTTTAGGATACCAACCTTGGCCTTGTCAAGCTGTGCCTGAGCCTGTCGCTCTGCCTCTCTGCGCACTGCCTCCTTATCCTCCTCCAGGGACACATCGGAGTCTGATGGACGGCTGGTGTAGGAGTCGGCCGAACCCTGCGGAGACACAAACAGCAACACCTCAGCGACGCAAATTGAAGCACTGAAACTCAACTCTGTCCATTTGGATTCACACTCTAAAAATGTCAGGTTTTATCAGCCAATAATCAGTGCGATTCACAGCAGCTCAAAGACATTGTGGAAAACTTGTTTCTTCACTGCCCTTACTTTTGAAAGAAACTTTTGCAGTTGTGCAACTTACAAATGTGCAAACACCCCCACACAGACTGAAGTGTTAAACTCACTTACTTTCATGAAATGAGCACAAAGGCTGTGTTGAATAAAAATGAGCCGGCATGTAATTCTTCTATCAATCACAACTTGGGAAAATCACAAGTGCTGATTGAATCTACAGCAAATTATGGACACTTCCTCTCAGATGAGAAGATGCCAAAAGACACAAACTGTCTTTTATAGAATAACATCACCGGCAGCTCTTTGTCTATCCTTAGCTCTCTCTCAGCTGCTCGCCTGAAGATTTGTTGTGATCCTTCTGTGACAAACTGAGGGAAATGTTGAGGAACACCAGGTCCCAGTACGTCTCTGTGTGATATGTGGTTGCAACAGATCTTCTCATAAACATGCAGACTCACACATACCAACACACACGAGTTCTACCTTGCACACGCTCCTACGTCCAGTGCACACCATCACATGCAAACGCACATCACATATATGCTGCATGAAAACATATCATGAATAATTGCTGAAGGAGATAAAGTAATGCTTTCATGCAACTGCAATATAGATTCTAGTGTGTATGCTGACTTTTATAAAACCACTCTGCCCAGTAACTACAAAAAGAAGTTAAAAGGAAAAAGGAAAGTCTTCAGGCTGACTGTGTAAACTGTAAAACAGACGGACAGGATATAACGTCTTCATTTTTATGCCTTTTTAGACAGAAAGAAAAAAAAAATCACTGACATAGTCCAAAATCACTGTGCTATCTCAGCTGGGAAAGCAGCATCAGGGGAAAGAAACAAAAATATAAACCCTTTAAACTTTACTTCAATTGGAATTCATCTATAATTAGTTAAAAATTACATTAAAATATATATCACTTATCAATTTACAATTAAATACATTTAAAAGTGTGATAAAATATGTGATATCTGCTTAGCTAAGCTAGCTAGTTAACTTTTAGCATGCTATAGAACAGCTGTTTTTATTTGCTATGATCAGATTTAGCTACTAACTCATCAAACTAAATCACAGAGATGTTATCGATCAAAACTGACATAATTTAAGTACAGCAAACAGTTAGTGGTGTTATGTAATTTTGTCATTAATTGCAACTTAACAGTTTGCCTTTGAGTTTAACTAAATTTTGACTAAACATGAATATAATAGCAAGATTTTTTGCCTTATGGCTGAAATAAATGCTAAAACACTGATCAAAAACAAACAAAAACGTGACAAAGTGTGATGATGTAATCTGTGATTTGGTGGAATGAATATCAACATTTGCACTTCACTAGGGATCTACTCATTAGCAGTTTAGCTGATTACTGGATCTAACATTCAGCCTTTTATTTTTTTTAACAGTATTGTTTTTTAAAAAGATTTTCAATAAACTAAGTTAATTTAAACTGCACTATTTAGGCTCTGACATAGGCGTAGAGTGATGATATAATCGCCACTCTGTGGTCTCAACAGTGTCTCGCCCACAGCACTCGCTGAATGAACGGTTTCACATCACCAGCAACAGCCTATCAACAGTGAAGGATTCATGGTAAAGTTTCCTTTTGATTAAACACATCTAAAACATAATTGATCAAAAACATTTCAACTAAGTTTTGTGTAGGAGTTAGTGTTATTCAAATATTGACACCAAGATTTATATTTTTACTGCAGTTTTATATCCATTTTAAATATTTCCTTGAATACTAACAATTGATGTTGGCCCGAAAAAACAACAACAAAACATTCGACCCCTAACACAAACAACAGGACAACTCCCTATCGGCGCAAAAGAGTTTCAGTTTCATGCAATAATCAGGATACAAGAATGTAAACAAAGGTTTTTAAATAAGTGGAGGCAGCGTGAGTCTTATCCTTACCTGCACGCTACTATGCCACCCACACAAGGTCTTTCATTCATCTCACTGCACCATTACACTCTGCTGTCTGAGTTAAAAATAGCCTCCCTCACTCTGTGCCTGATTAGAATTACCCAGCCATCACATACATACAAAGGAGGACCATACCTCTCCTTCCTCTCCACTTATGCTGCCTGACTTATGTATAGATGAAACAAGTGTTGTTGCCATAGACAGTACAAGCTTATTCATATTTATGTCCTTCATCTTACATAAAGCTCGTCTCCTCATCAATCGGCTCTGCGTACTGTGTACCCAAGATGAATAACACATTTGAAATCAAGCTCATTAACTATCCATGGGCTGCTTTTATTGTCATCATGTTCATGATTATTTTTAACCCCCATTGGCTTTCAAAACATCAACGAGCATCCAGACTATGTGTCATGCCTTGTGGATTCTCCAAACGCTGCTCAAGCTGAAAATGCAGCACTCTCAAATGAGCACATAAATATGCTAAAGTGACTATTTACTGCACATTATACTGTGTCTCATGAGCTACATTTGGCCTTGAACAGTGCAGGTGAACATAAGTGCCCCACTATGATTATTCCATCAGGTCACAGCTAAAGATGGGGCGTGATGGAGAACACCGTCCCAGTGGGTCAGAGGGAGGTGATATGGAGCTCTGCCCAGAATCTGACAGCCATAACTGATAACAACATCGAGCTTCTCATCATCACCAGGCAATACACAACGGCGCCACACTGACCCCAACACTATTCGCTGATGGATGCGGTGGAGAAACACAGACTTAATGCATGAGACACAAGTGCGTGAACACAAAAAACACACCAACTTTCATGACGGAAACACACTCAGAAATCCCCTTACACAGGCATCGGAGCTCTTGACACGACCTCCTTTGGCTCGTTTCAGCAAGCGTATCCAGGTGGCCTTCATCAGCCACACTGGTCATTCAGTGTCCTGAGCCACTGCCCCCCCCTGCTACTACTACAACTACACCTAACTGCACTGCTGTGGTCACCTTTGCACCAGCGCTGCAGCTACTGCTCTGACTACAGGTACATTCAACACTGTGGCTACATCGGCAGCTGGTTGCTGTTACACCTTGGCTGTAAATGCTACCTTCATTTCTGGATAAATAAATAGCTTTGGAGTCAGAGCTCCTTATTTTGCTGCAGCTCCAGCTAGCTCTGCTGCTGTCTGTAGAGCCACAGCTCCTGCTCCCCCTGCTGCTGCTGCTGCTGTTGCCAAAGATGGGGAATCCACAGGAGCTCTCTGCCCCGCGCATAATCTCAGCAGCTCTCTCCCCCGTCTGCCCCAGTCTCCTTGATAGCCGGAGTGCTCAGACTGCCGCTGCAGGTGCTGAAGCTGACTCCCGGTATGAGTCAGGCGGCAACGATGCTCCTCATCCTCTCCTTCAAGCTTTGGCTCAACCCCTCAACGTCCTCCTCTGCTGTAGGCTCCCCGTGCTCCTCCACAAGCGATGGGTAAAAGCAGCTTATCTACGTGAGTCCCGGTGTGGCTGCATGTGACCGACTCTTCTCCTGATGCTAATGAAGCTGCTGCCGCCGCCTTTAAGGTGCTGCAAGCTCTCCCTTTTCTCACTCTCTCTGTCTCAGCCTGTCAGTGTTTGTCCTGCTCATTCCCGTTCACAAGCTCTCCTGTGCTACTTCAGTGATTCTGCCTCTCTATCTCTGCCTCTACCCACCCCTCCTTCTTCTCCTTCTCCTCCTCCTCTGTCACTCCCCTCGTTTCTTTTTTTTTTTTTTCTCCCCTCCCTCAGTTACCCCTTGCAGTCAATCCATCTGCTCGTTGTGTCTCTGCAGTGATCAGTGCTGGGCAGTGCATGTGCGATATGGATACTGTTTATGTGCCAACCGTGCATACAGTTTTAGTGTCTTTCACATATAAACACATTGAGGTTGAATGATATGGGGAAAATATCAAAACACTTGTTTCTTTTTTAAACAAATTTGGTGATTTAAATTGCAATGTATGTATTTTTAAGTCGAGCTTCAATTTATCATTCGCTGTGTAACAGATTTAAAATATGTAATGGAGCATTACCACATGAGATATGATCAAAAGCGTGACTGTCACACAAGGAGGAAGAATGAATTTGTAAAACCATTGACATGAAAGTGAATGATTTTCCACGGTTCGGGTTAGACGCGCTACATATTGTTTTGCTGCATATGTTGCTGCTGACTGTCTCATAACATACTATGGTCAACTCAGGTTGTCTTAAACCATGCTATAGAAACAAACTTGATTCCAAAATGTATATCCTAAATTGTAGCAGTTCCAATTTACTAATTGTTTGCTTACAATCGATTTAAAATAAATGAATTATTTAGCTCTAAAACACACGACACACACTGAGCTGTGTAAAGCAGCTGAAAAACAAGTGTCACCACAACTTCCTTGATGGGAAGAAAATCTCCATCTGCATCAAACCCCTTTTATCATGTGTCATTAAGGCTGCAATTATCATCAGTCTCATATCAGTTCTTGCTTTAGTGAAGTCTTTTTTTTTTATGCACTACTTTGGAAGCCAAAACCAACATTTTTATCAAGACGTTTATCAACCAGTGGGGAAACTAAAGCAGCAATACAAGCAAAGCAGAAATTTACCTAAACAACATTAATTAACAAGGACCATCGACTATATAAAAGAAGGAGACAGCCAACAGGGGGCAACTCCTCAGGCTGTAGAAATAAGCAAGACAGTATAAAGGACTATGAGAAAATGACCCTACTTGCCCCTGATCCGGTACCTTGGCAACCATTTTGCTAATAAGTTTATGGTCTCAACTGCTAGTTTCAAGACCTTTTGAACACAGCATGGTGTGCTTTTTGTAAATTATGGTTGTTACTCTTGTGCAAATACAAAATGCTAAAAGCTGCTCCTCCTCAAACAAACACACAAAT